GGACCTGCTACCTTTTTGGGATAACCAACACATGAAAGCAAATTTTACTCCTTCTTTGTTTTTTTACATGCAAGAAATAGATTATGAAGATAAATGGATTTTTTTTTCTATGTGGTTTGCAAGATCTTGTAATAAATGTAGCAGAGGGCTCTCCTCTGTCCATTTTGTGATGGGGAGAATTGAGAATCTCTGTTTAACTAGAATATAGAAGATTATTTTTATGATAACTTAAAGAAGGTAACATTTCTAGTATTCTCAAAGATGATTTTCAAGAAGCTGCAAATTCTAGAAATTAGAAGGAGAGATAATCTAACCTGCTTTGAAGTGGAGATATAATCAAGAATAGAATTGATGGATTTTTCTGAATAATTCCTTGTAACCGCACTCCGTATGTAAGTCAATAGTTGTTTATATCTGTTCATCATTTCAGGAAAGTTAGTCTTTATCAAAACAAAAAAGAAAATATTTATGAATTATAACAATGAATTTCAAACTGAAGATGAGTCTAGTTAGTGAATTTAAAAATAAGGCAAACACTGACTGTGTAACTGGATACGTGCCTTGAATTTCTGCAACTGCTCTTCCACTCATCTATGAAGAGATCATACTTTGCTAACAGCAATTTTCTCCCATTTTGATATGGTTTAGTTCTTACAGGAAAAACCCAAGTAAAAATGGTACACATCTTACCAGTTTGAAATTTATTTTTATCATCTGTTTTAATGCTTTGAATCCCCATTCTCCTTTTTCACCTTCAAGCTCCAAAACCTAAAAAACAGAAGGAGTAAGATAATTTTCTCAATTTTGATATTTTTAGATTCATCAAAAGCTGCAGTAAATCCATGACAGCTTCTTTGTTTCGGAAGAGATTGGGGGTGAAAGTCTTATCTTAACATGTCAACAGCAATTTTTATAATTCCTACATTTAATCAACCGAATGTCAGTGTCCTGATTTCAAGGTCTTCTTCTGCATATACTACAAAAGGGAAACAGCCAAAAGCTTTATGCAGAAATTATTTTCAAAGAAGTTTGTCACTGTCAAGTTCTATCCCACAATACCCACAATGTTCTCTTCATTTAAGCAAGGCATCTGTGACTGAGTCTATCTACAGTGCAGTTACTAAGACAACAACAAAAGAAGACAGATGGGAAGAGAAGAGGTAATGCATGGTTCTGGTCCAGGCAAGAATAACATAGGTAGCAAATAGATTAAACTCTTGTGACAGTAGTTAGCCTTTTAAATATATTTTCTATGTATTATTATTCTCTACCACCCCCCAATTTCATATATGTTCTGAGATTAATATGCCTTTGGCCAGTTAAAATCAATATGAGGAGTAAATACGAGGAACTATTAGGGTTTCTAATGGAGAACAGAAATTTAACCTTACTAGATGCCATAGCATTACTGAAGTATCAACTGCTTGGGGTAATTCTTACAGGTCAACAGGTACTCACAAAGTTCTTACTTTCCTGAAATAACAGTAATTCATTGGTTGCTAGGAAGGCAGAGATGTCAATTTACCTAATTTTCTCAAGGAAATATGCCATAACATTTGACATATTTCTCCCCACTCAGTGCCAGAGATACTAGCTATAGCTAAGTAATGTGTCTGCATGATATTAATATTTATTGGCATTAGTCCAATATATCATCCCCAAATGTTTTCGACACAGGTTTTCCTAGATACTGCAGTATTTGTATGATACTTTTCCACAGTAAACCATGCTCAGCTTGGCTAACTTTGGAAAAAGTATTCATAGTATAAGCATATTTTAAGAGGATTCACTTAACAAGAAATAAAATGTGAAGCAGATAAATATACAGTCAGGTTAAACAGTCCATTAATATGAGAACCCAGTTGAAGAAATATTCTTAAAAATTCAAAAAGTAGCAACAATAATACTATTCTTAAAATAAATGCTCCCACTAGCAAAAAGTCTTACATTCTTCTAAGTAGTGTTGAGAACATTTTGAGTAGCTAAGCTTAGTCCTTCCAGAACAAGAGGTTGTAAAACAGAGAAGCAGGGATATTCCGACCTGTTTCACAAGACTACCCATTAGAAAATTTGTGATATTACTTTTCAACTATCATAAATTACATTAAAAGTGAAACACAGAGAAGAATATCCCAGGGTTGTTTGACAACAGGATTTTGTCTGCAACAGGTTATCACAGATCAAACATCTAATAAAGCAAAATATTTAACTGGCATACGTATACCAATATGAAGAAATAAAACTATGAACCTTTTGAAAACTGCTCAGTGCTGCTTTGGGGTCATCCTCCTTCAAGGCTTTGGAGTTGTAATACTGATTCTCCAAATCTACATTTGGTTCAGAGTTGCTGTCTTCAGAATATTCCTATATTTTACAAAGGGTAAAAAAAGCAAAAACATGTCAGCTGAGAGCTTTAAATGTTAATCAGTTAAGTGATAATAGCCAGAGAAAAGTGTGCATGTAGGATAGAAATCAATTTTCCCCCAAGTGGGAAATTGGGGGGAAAAATGAGTTGTAGTGGCTCTACATGAGCAGATGGCTAGCACTGGCTTCTGAAGCTGCCACACATCCTGGCTGAACAACTTCTATGATTCCTGAGCCTTCTGAAGCACTTCTTTCAAAGAAGTTGCAGAGTCCTAACAGTTATGTGTAGGTCGGTGTGCTCAGAGTTAGTGGATGACTACTGAAGAGTTGTTGAAAGCATCCTCAAAAGGCAACAGTTTTGAGGAACAGTTTTTAGAAAGGCAAAGCTGGCAGTATGAACACGTTCTAGGATGACATTTCAGACAGAGGGATTAACGGTAAGCATAACATTAACAAATACAGATCACTAACGTCATATCTGCAGCTTCTGAAAAGAATACTCCCTGTTTAATGATTATGGAAAATTGAGGAAATCATACCTGAAATTAGTATTGAGGTAACAGTTTACGATTCTGCTAGCTTTTCCCCAGTCTTCATCCCCTATAAAATCCTTCACAATCCATTCATTTGTTTATTTTAGACAGTACAATGTAGGGGAAGGCTTGACTTTCTGGATAGTTTTTATGAATGTATACATGTTTTTATGAATATAATAAATGTTCATACTTTGCATAGCTTTGTTTAAAAGCTATCAGAATGTAGCTTTCTTCACTGTATAAGCATCTATGCAAAGCAAAGCTGCTGTATGTAAATCCTTCCCTTTAGGGACTTGATACTGAATATTTTAGATTTTAAATTCTTTTATTTAAAAATAAGGGAGAAATTTAAACACTGTCTCTTCACCCTTTGTCTAGGACTAAGTGTTTTTCTGGTTCACTGTAGAAACTAAAATTAGTAATTTTAAAATAAAACTACTTTTTGTAGTTTTGTCTTATGGAATAAAACATAAGTTAGCCACAGTAAAATCTGTGCAGCTAAACAGAACTCTCATTGCTCATTTGCTGGAATACATCAAAACTTGTGTGCTTGCCGGATTCATCAGCCCAAGCATTAATCTTTTCTGGATTAGGTTAATGGTATGAAGAAGAGGGTAATTCATAATTATGTTACAGAAAGGTTTCTGCTGTGAAAGAAACTAGCCCGAATAACTGCTTGTTAATACTGCTTGCTGGATCAGATGAAGGTCCAATAGCCAAGAAATGCTTCCATCAGACCACCTCCTATATGCTTTTAATGTAATTTCAGAGACAACTTGGTTCTGGCTAAGGAGTTTCTGCTTGTGTTTACTGTATACAATAGGCTAAATCAGCGATTTATTAAATTTGTCATAACTGGTGGATTCATACAACCCAATAAACGGTGTTTCACAAATGGTCTAAACCTGGAGAAGCCATACCTACCTGACTACTCTTCATGTTCTCCAAGACCTTAAGCAAGAGTGTTTCCTAGCTACAGTCTCTGTTTTTTAAATGAAGATGCTAGGAGGTGAACCTTAGATTTTAGAAGTGGAGAACGTGCAATCTACTTCAAGAAATAGTCACATCATGTCTTTTGACAAAACTGGTGGAGAGTATTATGTTACACCAATTTTTTCCAGTGTTTTCAAAAGTTAGCATGTACTCTCTCAAACCTATAAACAAGAATTTCAATTTAGAAAAAATGCCAGCCATTTGTTTTCTGTTTTATTAATTACTGAAAAGATCCATATGTTTGATTTCATACAAAAATGTTATGTATTTTACAACAAAATAACCACTAGACATTAGAAAACCACAAAAAACATTATCAACCCAGATCAGCTGTTGCTCAAAAAACAGAAATACAACCCTTCCCATGGTACAATGTGACTCGATACATATTTGTTCAACAGATTAGTCCGGTCACCCATTTTCAGGAGTGGCTACAGCAACTACCTGTCAAATCGCATCAAAACAGAAGACCTTTACTATTCAGGAGAAAAAGACCACATGGATACAAAACATGCCATTACCAAAAAAAAAAAAAAACAAATAAAAGCAAAAACTGCTATATACACACAAAAAGAAATAACCAGAATCAGGCACTCGTGAAATATGACGTGCCATCAAGTCTTTTTCGACTCCTAGCGACCACACAGACAGATGAAATCACACATAGAGGAATACGTGAAATGCTTCAAACTCCTTTTTTCCAAGTTAAAACTGCTGTCTCCTTTGAAAGAAAGACCCACCGCCGCCAGCGCTGGCTCCCGGGCCCTCGCCCCGACCGACCCACAACAGGCAAAACCCAGCCCGGCGAGCGGCGGCGGCCCCGGAGCGCGCGACCGGGCGTCCCATCCCAGCTGCGCTGCCCTG